TGTCCTTGTGCTCTTCCATAATGCATCAATGTTTGGTTTAAGGCTGCGTTTCAGCAAGCACTTAGTTGGGAGTGGTAAACCCCATTAAACACAGCCAAATTTACTTCCAAGAGGGAAAAGTGCAAGGGGATTAGATTTCAAAATTAAGCCACCACCAGTGCAATGCATGTGTCTTTAGGAGGTAACTCCCCTGATCTGAGTAAACATTAATTGGATCAGGCTGCAATTCTATGCACCCGAAGTGGGAGGACCCACTCATTAAACTCAGCTGGGTTTATCTCTGAGTAACGGTTTGGACTGTAGCTGTCACAGCGCATAGATGTGCTAAAAGTGATTCGAAATGCTTACTGAAACCTTTAAAAATTACGTCATGTTTACATCATGTTTACTCATCCTTCGTTTAAGAAGTCGAAACTCCATAGTAAGAGGCAAAAGGAGGGGTGGGCCATCATCTTTTTCCCTTTAACCCTCCCTCCCGGGCCAAGTTGGAGTGCCTATGTTCAGGGCGCACCCCCTTGATTCTGGCGCACGGGGCCTGAGGGAGCTGGCGTAGAGGGAAAGGGAGGATCCTCGGGCCTGGGTGAGACTACGCGAGAAGCTGGCGTCCCCGATGGGATGGAAAGTCCGCTCCCTTGGAGTCACCCAGCGCCAGCCACCGGTCTGTTTGGGCACAGATCTCGGTGCCGGCCGGCGCTCCCGGGAGGAGAAGGCGCAGCCCCAAAAGGCCCGATCCCGCCCAGGTGCAGTCGTGCGGCCAGTGGGCGGGGAAAGGCAAACGGGCTCGCTCGCAGCGGCGGGAAGGAGGAAGCCGGCTCTGCAGTCCTCCGGGCCGCTTTGCTTTTCCACCCTCCGGAGTTTGGAAACTTCTCAGCTCGATGAAGGCGCAGCTCGGGGCGCGCTGAGGAGGAGGAGGAGTCGGTAAGTTTCGGCGCGCCGGCCGCTCTCCCTGCCCGCTCTACTCAGTAACTTGAACTTGGGTCGGCTAAAACAAGCAGCGGGTCGTTATACCCGTCCCGCTTCGCCCTTGGAAAGTCCCCGGGTTGGGTTGCAGTCGTCTGGCTAGCACGTTGACTTGCCCTCTGGAGTTAACGTGTCTTGGAGGATGTGAAAACTTCGCCTTATTGCGGTGGCCGAGCGCTGTGGGTCGGTCGAAGCCTCTGTAACGCCTGGTGCCGGTTTGTTTGTGCCCCCCTTCTGGACTTGACGGCGGCGCGCTCAGGTTTCCGCCTCCCCGATCGGGCGAGAGAACGACTTTGGTGGGCTGTGGACTCGGGACGGGCAGAAGGAAGTCCTTTCAAACGGCCAGTGATTCACCGACGGAACTCACTGCCACAAGATGTAGTGGTGGTGGCCATTGAATGGAGTAGGGAGACAAATGGGGGGAAGAGTATAGGTCTGTTAGCGATATAAGGGGCCTCCATGCTCTGGGGCAGTGCACCTCAGTCATAGGGAAGGCAAGCTACAGTGGAAGGCTCTTGTCTTCTAGCCCTGCTTGTGGACTTCCCAGAACCTTGTGGCTGGCCACTGTGAGAAAGGGGATTCCTTACGGGCTCTTCTGTACAGGCTGTTACGATTTGGGCAGCTTTTTACGCAAACTAATTGTGACCAGACTTGGTGGCTAGCACCAAAAGAGAAGGAAAGAAGAAGGGTCTTGTTATATCCCCAGAGGGCAGGAGCAGGGAGAGCAGACAGGCACCAGTTATGAAGTGGTGTGACCATTGCAACCCAGCCAGGCAGTGCCAGCCTCTGAAGTTCCTAACTCTTTTTTCCTGGGGGGACTGGAGACAATGCATTCTCTGTTCATCTTGGAGACTTGTAGTATACTCGTAGTGAAAACTGGGCTTGGGAAAAAAAGGAAGGTAGATTTTTCTTGGTAGGAAGTGGCAGTTTTGCTTGTGTGGGGCTTTAAGAGGGGAATGTGCACCACAGTTGGTCTAAAGCTTGTTTTTGCTTGAATACAGGCAAATAGTGGATTTGGAGATCCAGGCTGCATTCACACGTGCCGCTTACAGGACATTTCAGCTCTTGTGGTATGAACGTCATAAAGGCCATTCTGAATGTACTTCTGTTGGACTTCTAACAGTGCAAGCATTAGGAACATTTTCCTGGGAGTAAGCCCCATTAAATAGACCTGAGTAGGATTCTGAGTAGACGTGCTTAGGATGGCTCTGTAAATGAGTTGCTGGCTGGGTGGGGAGGTTGGTTAACCATCCCATTTCGGCCTTCTTGCACTTAGACAAAGTGACTTCAGTCTGAAAGTCACCGGCTTCATTTCCAGTGCCTCCTTCGCCTAAAAGCATGGCGCTGAAAGGAAAGGGGGCAACCCAACCTTTCCTTATTGTGACAAAGAGGGTAGCAGCAGGCTTTAACGCAAGGGGAGTCTTTTTGTTTTGTAGCTCAGTTGAAGTGAGGTGCTGAGACTGTGCAAAACCAAGATGCAAACTCTTTGCCTCCCCAAAATTACATTTACATTGGGCCTAAGAAACAAGGACATTCTAGCTCTGGGTGATGGTGGTGGAAGGTACTTCAAGTCACCGCTGATTTATGGCCATCCTGTAGGGTTTTCAAGGCAAGAGGTGCTCAGAGGTGGTTTGCCATCACCTGGCTCCACATCATGACCCTGGACTTCCTTGGTGGTCTCCCATTCGGTTACTAGCCAGGGCCGGCCCTCCAAGATCTGATGAGATCAGGCTAGCCTGGGCCTTCCAGGTCAGGGTTACTCCAGAATGGCCAGATTTCTCCAGAAAGCCTCTGTTATTGACCTTAGTGGGGAAAAGTGGCGGCTCCTACCTGGTGGAATGAGCTCCTGGAGGAGATCAGGGCCCTGCGGGACCTGATGCAGTTCCGCAGGGCCTGCAAGATGGAGCTCTTCCGCCAGGTGTTTGAGTAGGATGGTACTACGGTACCATCATTACCTGGCCCTGGAGGAAAGAACGCTGGCATTGTCCGGAACAGAGGACACTGAGCTAGTAGAGCAGCAGTAAGTTCGTCATCTTTGCGGAATATCTGGAGCACTTTATATATGTAATTTTGTAATGCTGTATAATGTTTTAAATGGTTTTTAAAATGTTTTTATGTGTGGGCGTATGTGACCCGCCCTGAGCCCCCTTTTGTGGGGAGGGCGGGCTATAAATCTAAATAAATAAATAAATAAAAGAGGCTTAAGAGTCTCATGGGCTGCTGAATGGGGACATGGCTGCTAGCCCTTTGGACATTGTACAATGGAAAACATGGCCCCTGTTGAAGATTACCTGCTGCTTTTTTTGTGTGGGGGAGTGGCCTTTGGAACCGTTCTTGACAAACCCCAGGTTGCACCCCAAGGAGTGGCCTTCCTCCGACGGGAGGAACAAACAGCCCTGATGCTTTGGGCAGCCAAGATCTCGTCGAAGATTCATCATTTGTTTATGAAAATTGTCCCTTTCCCCTAGGAGATTGGAACGTAGGTCAGAACAAAGGGCTCAGCTGAAAAATGAAGGAATCAAAGGGCAGCCTGCCAGAAGTTCTTTTTTTTAAAAAAAAAGTCCAAACTTTCTTTCAGAGTTGAGGGTTGTTTAGATCCTGGCTATTAATGTGAGAGCTCTTTTCTCTGCGTCCCAGGCCGCAAGGCTTCCTTTATATGGCCAAGATGCACACGGATATTTAGCAGGTCAAGACCTTCCCAAACTTTTCTCCATCTGCTATACATATGTGAATTGTGCTACTGCTAGGAGCACAGGACGAGAGCCGTAGCGTGGTAGTGGGAAGCGATCAAGTTGCTGCCAACTTACCCCGTGGGGTTTTCAAGGAAAGAGGTGAACAGAAGAGGTTTGCCATTGCCTGCCTCTGCGTAACAACCCTGGATTTCACTCCCATCCCAGTATTCACCAGGGCTGATCCTGCTTAGCTTCCAAGATCTGGTGAGATCAGGCTAGCGTGGTCCATCCATGTCAGACCGAGCTGGAGCTTACTGAATAGATGTCCATTATTTTTATCTATCTAATATTTTTTTCAAGTGCAACCTACTCATGCCTCACACCCTTAAAAAGGTGCAACCTTACACCTGACAGGAGTTCTGGTCTACTGTGTTAATCTCTGAATTGATTTCCTGATTCTTCCTTGTCCCTCCTGTGTTTTCACGGGGCACCCCAGGCTCACTGCCGACGGATTCAGAATAGAGTGGTCTGTATCCTACCATTCTGTTAACAAGACCATAAACAGCATGATAAAAAGTAGAGACACCTCCCTGCCAACAAAAGTCCGCATGGTCAAAGCAGTGGTATTCCCAGTAGTCATGTATGGCTGCGAGAGTTGGACTATAAGGAAGGCCGAGCACTGAAGAATAGATTCTTTTGAACTATGGTGCTGGAGAAGACTCTTGAGAGTCCCTTGGACTGCAAGAAGATCAAATCAGTCAATCCTAAAAGGAATCAACCCTGACTGTTCCCTGGAAGGCCAGATAATGAAACTGAAGCTCAAATACTCTGGCCACCAAATGAGAAGGGAGCACTCACTGGAAAAGACCCTGATGCTGGGAAAGATTGAAGGTCAAAGAAGATGGGGACGGCAAAGGATGAGATGGTTAGACAGTGTCATAGATGCAACAAACATAAATTTGAGCCAACTTCAGAGGACGGCGGAAAACAGGAAAGCCTGGCGAGATCTTGTCCATGGGGCCACAAAGAGTCGGACTCGACTGTGCGACTGAACAACAAAAGAAGAGCTCTGTTGAACCAAACCAGTGGTCCATCTAATCCAGCACCCTGTTCCGCACAGTGGCCACCAATTCCTCTGGAGGGCCAACAGACAGGATATAAAGGCCAAGGCCTTACCCTGATGTTGCCTCCTAGCACTCCATATTCAGAGGTTTACTGCTTCTGAATATGGAGGTTCTGTCACATCTTGTTTTAAAGCCAGCTGTGGTGACCATCATTACATCCACTTCCAACACATTCCACAATTGAATCCATCATTGAGTCAAGAAGTACCTATTTCCTTTGGTTTGCCCTGAATGTGTTGCCTGTCAGTTACATTGGGTGCCCTCGAGGTCTAGAATTTTGGAGGGAGGGAAGACAAAGTTATCTCTATCCACTTTTCTCCATCCTACGCACAGTCATATAAGCCCCTATTGTCACTTGTGAGAGGAAGTCTTCAAACTAGAGTCAGAAGGTACAGGCCAGTGAGAACGGACTAGGTTTGGGTTGCCCAGATACATTCAATATGGGACCACTATCTCTTTATGATCTGCATGATGTGTCAGGGTATTGTATTCTCATCCTTCATTGTGGCGGAAACTGCACCTGCTAACCCCAAGTGTAGGAGTCCCTACATAGGGTCACGCAGGATGGGTGCGGTGCAGCTGCAGTCTCCGGATACTTTGAGCAGGTGATGAAGTAGCGTAGCGTACCAAAATCCATCAAGCATGCCCAGCTAGCTGAGATGCGTATCTTGCTGGCGTGATTTGGAGAAGAAAGGCAGGCTAGTGGGGACTTCCCCAACAGCCAGCTTTGCCTGTAGCTGTTAAAGGTGCACCATATTAAATCCTTTGTCCTCTGCTAAACTGCACATTAACAGGATCCTACATGTAAAGAGACCACTGATTTCAGAAACGAGGCGCGGGAGACTCACTCCTTAGGGTCTGGTCAGCACAGGGAGGAATTCTCTTCTCCTCACAGCCAAACCTCTGCCACTGCTTCAGTTTGGTAAAGTAAAGGTAAAGGTTCCCTTGCTCGAAAGCCAGTCGAATCCGACTCTAGGGTTGCGGTGCTCATCTCCGTTTCAAAGCCGAAGAGCCAGCGCTGTCCGAAGACATTTCCGTGGTCATGTGGCTGGCATGACTGAACACCAAGGCGCACGGAACGCTGTTACCTTCCCACCGAAGTGGTACCTATTTATCTACTTGCAATTTCTTGCTTTCGAACTGCTAGGTTGGCAGGAGCTGG